CTTTTCTTCATATGTTCTACCATTGAATTGATTTTGGTTTTCTTCAGATTTTCAGTTTTTGTTTCAGGTATATTATGGACTTCTCATGAGTTATAGATTTTAGATTTCTATTCAATACTATATTCTTAGATAATCTATCTAGATTTTGCTTTATTCAAATTTATGTGTCTTGAATTTTTGTATACATTTGAATCAGGAACATAAAATTGACGGTTTCACACTTTCACAAGCATAGGCCATCATCAAGTGAAGAGCACAACAATGTATAAAGAGTAGGACTTGTTTTCCTTTTCAGAAAGTAGTGTTACTTCATAATTGCAGACAGAAATAAAGGTAAGATATTGCAATTACTAAAAAGTTGTCGTGTAATTTGAAATTGCTATATTTCCATAAATGATTTGCTTACTAACGCTTCTTAATTTATGCTCTTCCCGTTGAAGCAAACTGATTTTGTGCTTTTAGTTTGAAGGAATTCAATTCATGATGTTTAAGAATGCTATACTTTGCCATTTGGTGAAATTTTATTTCGTTGTTAAATTGCTTACGAGTGCTACAGGTTGTTGCATGGACAGAGCTTTACTTGGATATTAGGATCTAGTCATTGCAGGAAAGCTCATTAGGTTCAAAAATTTTAATGTCTCCCAATCACTCAAGATATCCTTGAAGCTAAATATTTTTTAGATTTGAGTTAATATTATACTAGATTTCCACCCGTGCGTTGCACGGGATGTAAATGCGCTTTTTATAAATATTAACATATAAACGTAATTATAGATCATATTCTTTTTACTGTGACAGTGAGAGTAACCGTTAATAAATTAATAGTAGTAATAAATATTAGATGTTTTATAAGCACCCAATTTACAAATTATTAAAACTCTCCTTGAGAACAATACTTTTGCATTTTTTTTTTCAAATTTCCCTCATCAACGCATATCAAAATTTCACGCTACATAGACTTGTCACCCTCAAAATTGCACAAAGAATTGTCCATACATAAAATATGAATGTCACCGGAAGACACCAAAATGAATGCACCAATACAAAAAAACGATGAAATTGCTATAAGTAAAATTTTATGAAAACAGGAAAGGTGTGTTTAGTCCAATTGATGCAATTTTTATGATTCATACATACCCAATATAAATTCAAAACATCAACTCCGTCAAAGAATTCAGCTTATTTCACCTTTAACCAACTATGAATCTATCACGTTTTGTCGTGTGAATGAGGGTAACAACTAATAGATCAATAATAACAAATATTAGAAGTTTAATAACACGTTTTACATCGAAGACTTCTTTGTAGATAATTTCTTTTACAGTTTTTTCTAATCTTCCTCGTAATCACATCTCACGAATTTTTAATAACACATTTTTCTAATATTAGCCACATAAATATTAGCAAATAAATTATTTCTCTCCTTATTTGAATGATTTTATACAATTTTGATAAGTTTTTCCCTGCAATGTCAACAACAATGTCAACATCTAGACGGTCTCCTTGACAGTGTGGAGAAAAAATTACCAAAACTGTATAAAATCATTCAAATAAGGAGAGAAAGAATTTATTGACTAATATTTATGTGGCTATTTTTCATGCCACGTGTGCACCGTGCACATTTTACCATCACTACAAAAAAACAGCGTCATAGTCACGGATTTTAGTCACGGATTTCGACCGTGACTAGTTTAGTCACGGTCTAGTCACGGACTAGTCACGGAAATTTTAAAAAAAAAATAGTCACGGTCAGAGCCATGACTATGACCGTGACTAATGTTAGTCACGGTCATGGACCGTGACTTAATTCCTCCGATAGGCCCATTCCCGTTTCCGGCGAAGTTTATTTGATTCCGACGACTTAGTCACGGCCAAATCCGTGACTATGCCCGTGACTATAGTTAAAATTTATTTTTTTTCAACTCCCTTAGTTAATTCGCAACGGCATTATGTACGGATAAATGTAGTCACGGCCATATCCGTGACTAGTTCCGTGACTATGTTGATTAACACGTCATTTACACGTAATTAACACGTGTTGGACGCGTGTTGGACACGGTTTTGCTTAGTGACGGACAAATCCGTGACTAAGTCCGTGACTAAATTTTTTATATATGCAGGAGCAGCTCATTCATTCAACAGAACCACACCAATTCATTCCCAGTATATACAGTATCCGTAGATCGAAGGATGTAGTCTATCTTCTATCATTTTCCCTGTTTATGCAGATAAGGTATGTTATTTGAATTATAATTTTTATTTAGAATTAGTTGGTTCAATTTAAATTATTAAAACTATTAAATTAGTGAGGTTGTTAATTAATTAACAACATGTTTTAACTATAAGCGTAGTAATGTCATAAATTAGAATTAGTTAAACTTTTAGGTTTATAAATTAAAATAATTTAATTAAAATTAGTTAGATAAATGTGGTTTAAAACGTAATGATGTTTATGTTTAGTGAAATTAGTTCAAATAACGTACGTTAGTAATGTGTTAATTAAGTGAATTGTGAATTGTTATTGTGAATTGTGTATTGCTTATTAATTCAAATAACTTTATATACATGTTCAAATTATTGGGTTGAATTTGGTCATATTATTTAATTTAGTGAATTGTTAATTGTGTATTACTAATAAGATTAAATGTCATTAACGTAATAATTTAGTGTAGGTTTAAACGTAGGTTTACAAAAATAATTTAATTAAAATTCGTTTGCTAAACGTAGGTTTGAACGTAGCTATTGATGTGTTAATTAAGTTAAATTAGGTAGCTAAACGTAAGTTTAAACGTAGTGATGCATTAAAAGGGGACGGAATGAACTAGTTAAATTTGTATAAAATTAACTAAATGAATTAGTTAGATTTAATTAAACGTATGTTTAATTTAGTGAAATTATCTGCATTATTGTGCATTAGGGGACATATATTTTGTGCATAACTAAGATGTGAATTCTGTGCATTTCATTTAAAAAAAGTGAAAATTAGTTGATTATATTTAGTGAAATAAATTACTTAAAATTGTGTGCATTGCATTTCATCTAATTTTTTATTATAATATTCAGGCATAATGTATAAACAAAATAGAAGTTGGATGTATGATAAAGATGCGGTATTGTACGGAATGCAATTAAATTTTCTCGAGGGAGTCGGGGAATTTATTGAATTTGCACTTGAACATCCGGCTTATATGAGTGGTGATAAAATAAGATGTCCATGTTCAAAGTGTAAAAATCTCAAATTTAAAGACCCACACGAAGTTGGGTATGATTTGTACGCGGTCGGTTTTGTTCCCAATTATTATAATTGGACTTCTCACGGCGAACCTTTGGATCCATCTGTTATACCACAAACGGTAGGTTCGTCTCGTTACGTCCCTCCAGAGATGAGTGCGTGGGGAGACCGTGCTGAAATGAGGTGGGACCAACAAATGGTATATGACGCATACGGTGTACCGTCTCAATTCAACCCCCCACAACCACCTAACGACCCCCCTGAAGCCTCAACCTCGTATCAACCAGATGCGGATGAAAATCCGACATTTTATCAACCTTATGTGGATGAAGGTTTGGCTGAGAGATTTCAGGATGTTCTAAAAGCTGTCGACCAACCTCTGTATGCTGATTGTGAGGGATACTCTCAGCTATCCGCTGTTACTGAGTTCATGAACATAAAAGCCGAATACAGTCTCCCTGAAACTTGCATGAATAGAGTCTTGCAGTCAGTAGGAGGGATGCTACCGCGAGATCATACCCTTCCCGATTCATATTACCACATGAAGCAGTTAATGTCTAAGTTGGGGCTACCTTGTGTTGAAATTGATGCGTGCCCGGAAGGATGTATGTTGTTCTGGAAGGAGGATGAGGCACTTGAGGTCTGCACTGTCTAAACTGTATTACCTCCCAATAGCTCCTCGACTGCAAAGGATGTACGCTTCGACTGCTACTGCGAAACACATGACATGGCATGTTGAGCACGAAACCAACGAGGGTATGATGGCTCACCCTTCGGACTGTGAAGCCTGGAGACACTTTGACCGCTGTCATCCTCAGTTTGCTATGGAGCCACGAAATGTGCGGCTGGGATTGTGCTCAGATGGATTTGCTCCTTTTGGCAGGTTTGGCAAGAACTATTCATGTTGGCCGGTCATGTTAACACCTTACAATCTCCCTCCCGACATGTGCATGAAAAGTCATTTCATCTTTTTGTCTTTAATTTGTCCGGGTTCCAAGGATCCTGGGCGAAAGATAGACATTTATCTCCAACCCCTTATCGAGGAGATGAAAGAACTGTGGGCCGTTGGGACACCAACTTATGATGTTTCATCAGATAAAATGTTTATCATGAAAGCTGCCATCATTTGGACCATTAGCGACTTCCCTGCCTATGGCATGCTTTCGGGATGGAGCACACACGGTCTGATGGGATGTCCGATATGCATGGAGAAATCAGGTGCCAACTGGCTCAGTTACAGCAAAAAAGGAAGTTACTTTGATTGTCACCGCAAGTTTCTCCCGGAAAGGCACCGATATCGAAAGGACAAGAAGTCTTTCATTAGAGGCAGAGCGGTTTGAGAGAGCCCACCCCCGAGATTGACCGGTGAAGAAATTTATAACCGGGTTCGACGTTTCCCTACGGCTATGGAAGAGCCAAACCAAGAGCCATATGGGTATTGTGATACCCATAAGTGGACAAAGAGGAGCATATTCTGGGAGTTGCCTTATTGGAAAAACCTTCTCATCCGTCACAATTTAGATGTCATGCACACCGAGAAGAACGTCTTTGACAATATATTTAACACGGTGATGGATTTGAAAGGCAAAACTAAAGACGGTCTTGCAGCTAGGAAAGATATGACTATTTGGTGTGATAGACCCGAACTTTCTGTTGATCTAGAATATCAGGGCAAGGAAGTTCCAAAAGCAGTCTACCAGGTCACAGAACCACAAAAGGCAGCAATATTAAAATGGCTTGCGTCTCAGAAGTTTCCAGATGGCTACTGCTCCAACTTGTCTAGATGCGTAGACATGAACAAACTTACCACGACGACGAGCATGAAAACTCACGATGCTCATGTAATAATGCAAAGACTTCTACCAATTGCACTAAAAGAGATGCTCCCTGAACACGTATGGTCCTGCATTACTGAAATCAGTTTGTTGTTTCAATCGATATGTTCCAGCGTTTTGGATGCGGCATCCCTCCGGAGACTACAAGAGTCTGTTCCCATTCTGATGTGTAATCTGGAAAAAATAATGCCACCATCGTTTTTCGATACAATGGAACATCTCATTATACATCTTCCGTATGAGGCTTTGACTGCTGGGCCCGTCTTCTATCGGTGGATGTACAGATTTGAAAGGTTAGTCACAATTTCATTTAAAAAAAGAATATTTATTTCACAATAACTATTAACATGTGTATTATTGCATTATTGCAGATTTCTAGGAGAGCTGAAAAAGAAAGTGACCAACAAGGCACACGTTGAGGCTTCAATTTGTCAAGCGTATCTTCAACAAGAAATCTCAACGTTCTCGTCTTTTTACTTCGAGCGTGACGTCATCACCAGAAGGAAGAGACCTGCCCGGAACGATGACATTGGCGAGGATTTATATGAAAATCTAGTTTCCATCTTCAATTACCCAGGCAGAGGTAAAGGTGCTGCGACACAACGATACATCCTGGGTGGGGAATTGCAAATTGCGCATACTTATATCCTCATGAATTGTCCAGAAATCTCACCGTTTTATCAGTAAGTTAATTTATAGTTTTTTATAGTTGTAGTTAATTAACTACTTATACTTGTAGTTAATTTATAGTTTTTTTTTTTTTGACTTCACAGTGAATTCCGAGCTTCTTTATCAGCCTTTCCTGATAATGAAATTGATGCGTTGGTGGACTCTGATTTTGTAAATTGGTACAAGTATCAGGTATATATACACACACATTAATTATATATATTACCTAATGTTTACCTAATGTTATTATTATGTTTATATTTACAGATCAATAGTCGTGGGATTGTCGACCCTTTGTTAGTATCATTAGCGTGGGGTCCAGGTGCCAGTGCCAAAGTGTGGCGGCAATATGTGATAAACGGTTACACATATCACACAGCCGATTACGGAGAGGGCCGACCAACAACGAACAGCGGGTTATGTGTCCCGACCATCGGTTATGATAACTCGGAAACCAAATTTTTTGGTGTCCTGCAGGAGATTCTGGAACTTGAGATGCCTTCTTGTGCGAAAAAATTGACATGCGTTCTGTTCCGTTGCACATGGGTCGACCCCACACGTGGCGTGCGCAAAAATCCGAAGTATAATATGATTGACGTCAACCTCTCTCGTGTGTACCCAAAAAATGAGCCTTTCATACTCGCCCAACAAGCAGCGCAGATTTATTATGCAGAATATCCTTCAACAAGGCGGACACAGAATCCTTGGGTGTGTGCATGTCCTGTCCGTCCGAACAAAATAAAATCACAAACTCAACACAAGGACGTTGATCTAGATGCTTTTCAGCAACAATTTTTCCAACCTCCGCCTATTGTTGAGACGGTCAACTATAACGTTCAATTAAGTGATCCAAATGGCGGACGTGTTGAAGTCATGCCAGAAACGCACCTTCCGGACCCAACCATTCCATCTGAGCGCGAAATTGAGGAAATGTATGTAGCACAACAAAATGCTCAATATCAGGAAGAAGGTGAATGGATAGACGGTTCAGATACAGAAGAAGATACTGTATATGTAGAAAATGACGATTCTGATAGCGAATAATTGTGCTGTTGTAATTTCAATTTTATTGACTTCTAATATTTGTGCAGATTTCTTCATCATTATATTACTCCAACAATATTTGAATTTTTTTCTATCTTTATCATTATTTATTATGAACAAAAAATTACTCCATATTAATTCAACCACAACAAGTTTTTTATATCCATATCATAAATTCAAAATAAAATTTTTCACAATTCGAAGTTTGAAAATTAAAATTTACCCAATACAAAATATGAAATTACTCTATATTATATTCTTTTATTTTCAAATTCGAAAATTCAAATATTATTTTTGATTTTTCTAAATTCGAAAATTTATTTTAATAATTTTTAATAATTCGAAATTCGAAAATTAATTTTAATAATTCTAAGTCTATTCGAAAATTAACAAAATTCGAAAATTAAAAAAACAGTAATCTACTTTTACTAATCTTAATATTATAATAAATTTAGATATTAATAAACAACTAACAGATATTTATTTATCAAATTTCAAAGATAAATACAAAACACACAATGAAATTGTCACATATTATTTATTAAACAACTAACATAGATTTATTTATCACATTAGCCTAACTAACATTATTCATTCCTCAATCGGAAACTTTCAAGAGGCCTAGCCCACAACTCCTGAATTTTCATTCGAGCTTCTTCGTTGATCGGGTCCATATACTCTGAAACTTCTTGTGCACGTTGAAGCATCCGACACAAATTTCTTGCTTTTGACTTGCCCAACGAGTCGGATTCTTCATCTTTATAATCGCCAAAACTTTCAAGGGGTCTAGACATCAACTCCTTGATTCTCTCGTATGCTTCCACGGTTTTCGGCTCCATAAGCTCTGTAATCAGCTTAAGTCGTTTCATATCTCTACACATCGAATCCCAGTCAATTGGACCTCTATTAGCCATTTTTTTTTACAGTTCAGTCTTGGGCTGGAGTGGGGTGATTTATACTAAAAAATTTCAAGTTGTCACGGTCTTAGTCACGGTCAGGACCGTGACTAAACCCTTCGTAAATGCCGAAGTCAGTCCGCCGGTCAGAGCGGCGCTGACAGTAATAGTCACGGTCAGACCCGTGACTATGACCGTGACTATTTTCAAATTTTGAAAATAGTCACGGTCATAGTCACGGGTCTGACCGTGACTATTCCGATTAAAGGCGTCTCTGACCGTCGGCACTGACATCGTCAATTACGAAGGGTTTAGTCACGGTCCTGACCGTGACTAAGACCGTGACTAAAAAATTATATAAAACAAACACTTAGCGTTTTTTTTAAAAACCTACGCACCCAAACTCCCAAACCCTAACTTCCTCTTCCTTCTCTCTTCCCTCTCTTCCAGTTTAGATTGTGCCGCCGCCGCCTAGCCGTCGCCGCCTCGCCGTCGCCGCCTAGCCGTCGCCGCCTAGCCGTCCGCCGTCAACGTCTAGTCGTCCGCCGTCGTCCTCCGGCCGCCTTCGTCCACCTTCTTCCGTCGGCCCTTCTTCAGTCAAGGTTATGTGTTCTGTTCATCTTATTTTGTAATATTTGATTAAACTTCCAAAAATGCATGATTGTATACTTAAATGCATGATAAGATGCATGATTTTTAGTTTCATATCATTTTGTAATCTTCAAAAGTTGTATGTATGATTTATTATATGCATGATTTGTAGTTTTGCATGATTATTTCGTTTTATATGTTTCGTATGCATGATTAATATATGTTCAAATGTAGATTATTTTATGTTTAATATATGTTCATATGCATGATTAATATATTTTCGAACTAATGCGTGCTTATACAATTAGTATCATGTTAAACATATATGTTTAGTGTTTGATTTGCATGCCTCTCTATACATATGCACTACTTTAAATTTTATTTCCGAAAATATTTAATTTAGGTTAATATTTAAAAAAAACTGTTTAAATAAATAGCCCCTCGTGTTAAATTTCCAAAAATAGTTTAACACGTTTAAATATAATTTCCGTAATATCCATTAACAAAATATTAAACATTTAAATTTAATCCCGAAAAAAACTGGACGAAACATTGTTTTTATAATTTATCTAAAAAAATCTGTTTTTATAAAAACTGTTTTTATAAAAACTGTTAATTAAAAACTGTTTTATTAAACAGATTTTTGTAAAAAACAGTTTTTGTAAAAACTGTTTTAATAAAAAGTGTTTTTATAAAAACTGTGTTTATAAAAACTGTTTTTATACAAACTGTTTTTATATAAACTGTTTTTATAATTAATCTAATAAAAACTGTTTTTATAAAAACTGTTTTTAATAAAAACTGTTTTTATACAAACTGTTTTAATATAAACTGTTTTTATAATTAATCTAATAAAAACTGTTTTTATAAAAACTGTTTTTAATAAAAACTGTTTTTATACAAACTGTTTTAATATAAACTGTTTTTATAATTTATCTAAAAAAACTGTTTTTACAAAAATTGATATATATAAACTGTTTTATATAAAATGTTTTATTAAACAGATTTTTGTAAAAAACAGTTTTTATAAAAACTGTTTTAATAAAAAGTGTTTTTATGAAAACTGTTTTTATTAAAACTGTGTTTATAAAAACTGTTTTTATACAAACTGTTTTTATATAAACTGTTTTTAAAATTAATCTAATAAAAACTGTTTTTATAAAAACTGTTTTTAATAAAAACTGTTTTTATACAAACTGTTTTAATATAAACTGTTTTTATAATTTATCTAAAAAAACCGGTTTTACAAAAATTGATATATACAAACTGTTTTATATAAAATGTTTTATTAAACAGATTTTTGTAAAAAACAGTTTTTATAAAAACTGTTTTAATATAAAGTGTTTTTATAAAAACTGTATTTATAATAACTGTTTTTATAAAAACTGTTTTAATAAAAACTGTTTTAATAACAACTGTTTTAAAAACTCTTTTATTAAACAGATTATTTTTAAAAATAGTTTTTTGTAAAACTTGATTTAACAAACTGTTTTAAATTTATTTTAAAATGATATATCTAAAACATAAAAAAATGATCTCCTCTCATGTAAACTTTGCAAAAAGTTTAACATGTTACCTCCAAGTGCAATTTATTACCAAATTATTTAAGAACTTATTATGAAAAAATATGGACCCCTCATATTAAACTAAAAATAGTTTAATATGCTATACACCCTAACATATTATAAAATATACTAAAAATATTTAATATATTTTAGATGAGCAACGAACAATCGACCTCGGCTCCCCGCCCTAACTATGCGCCTATGTCCGAAGCGGAGCGCAACAATGATGGAGCTGTTTGGGTGACGCCTGCAGAAGTTCTTTTGTAAGTAGTTATGAAAAACCTTATTTTCAATAATTTTATATAATGTTAAATAATCAAACCAAATCTTATATAAATAAATACTATTAATTTTTTTAAGTGACGAACACGTGTTCACGGGCATCAAAAACATCATCGGAGGACACTTTCTTGGCACTTGGGCCACACTGTCAGATGTTGACCCCAAGGTTCGCGAACTATGGTGGAACCTGTTCAAGGTAAAAATAAATGAATGTTCCCTTCCTGATTGTATTGGCCTAATATATACCTGGTGATTAATTAATCCAATTTGTTTTAATAAAGGCTCGCTATCGTTGGACTCGCGCAAACGGTGCCGACACTAGTACAAAAAATCGATTCTATAACTCATATTTCGTGTCGGTTATAAAACAACCGACGTAGTACACAGGCACGGGGTCAATATTATAAATATTAAAATTATCTCATCTCAAAGCGGGTCAAATTTGGAAATATTAAATACATTCTATATCAGTTGAATATTGACCCGACATAGAAAAGGAAAAATCGGGGTCTTTTTCATAATTCTTGAAAACATGGAATTGACGCGGGGCATATTTTATAAAATTTAAAAGTACTTTTTATGTGGGATGAAAATGATCCGTAATGGAATAAGCTACTTTCTACGGAGTATATAGAAATATGAAAAAGAGATGCAGGAGCACTGGTATTCTAGCCCTAATGAAGATAAAGTTGTTCTAGCGTATACTTGCTCCATCATCATCAGTAGCCGCTCTTCTATTGCCGACTTCCAATCGCCGCCATTCTGTCGCCGACTTCCAATCGCGGCTCTTCTGTCGCCGACTTGCGGTTGCTGCTCATCTATCGCCAACTCGCGGTTGCTGCTCATCTATCGCCAACTCGATGTCGCTGCTCATCTATCGCCGACTTGTGGTCGCTGCTCATCTATCGCCGACGTACAATCGTCGCTCTTCTATTGCGGACTTGTGGTCCCTACTACTTCCTGTTGCTGCTTATCTATCGCTCATTTTGGTTGCTTCTCTTTAGCACTATACAGGTGAAAACGCTCTTTTAACTGTTTTATATTTCTAGATTTTAATGGTTTCAAATAGTTTTAGCTATCTAGTGTTTCCATAGTTCTTTTAAAATTGGGCGGTTTTTTGACTCCTATGAGCATTACCTTCTTCTTATGAAGAAGCTTCTTGCTAGTTTTGTAAATTTTATTTATTGGAGAAAACTAGAAAATCTTGATTCAATTAACAAAATATGGAGTAATCAATTTAGATTTATTAATGGGCCTCCCAACCGAATCACTAAAATTAAGGTTTTTTGTGAAGTATAACTAAAACTTCCCAATGCATATACATGTACTAAACTAATTTAAGCATATATTTTTCTATCATTAATGTTTTTGTACGATTTGGGCTGCTATACATAATTTTTTTATATCATTGAGTAGGAAGGTTGTATAATGGTGTTAGTGACATCTAGTGATGAAGTTATAATTAAGCTTATAAGCTATAAGACTTATAACTTCACATTTAGAAAGATAAGCAAAAGCTATTCAAGCTTATGAAGTCTAAACACCCATGATATGATTTTCTCTATAATGTGTGCTTCTA